GGGGGGGGTGAGTGGGGCGACGGGGTGGGGTTAGGGTTCCGGGGGCGTGGGGTTATGGGGGGGGTGGCCGGCTGGGCCTTTGCCCAGTTGGGCCGGTGGTGGCCTAGTCGGCTGGGCCGTCTGGCCCAGTGGGGGGGTCCTTTTATATATATATATATTTTGGTTTGTTTTCTGTTTTTTTTAATTTACTTTCCTTTCTGTTTTATTCAATTTAAAATATTTATGCATTTTATAAAAATTTGTTTACTTCACCATAATTATCTTTGTAATATTTGACAACTCCCGAACATTTTAGATCTAATTTTTGAAAACTTTTATTGTTTGCCTATGTTTTCAATTGAATTTGAACCGAGTTCGAATCAACGTGAGTTTAATCACGGTAACCGAGGTGACGTGGCATCATTAGTAGGGATTACTGTAGCTTAATTATCCGGGCGTTACAGCGTGCATCAATTTTCCGACGCCGAAAAACAGGACCAAGGAAGGGGAATGTTTGGAGAGATGGACATGACAGCGGTGGTGCGGTGGAAGAAACGTCTTGGAGAGGACCGAATGGCGAGGTTGTGCAACAATGAAACTAGGCACGAACAGCGAGAGACGTTGACACGGCAGAAGGGCAACATGGGAGGATCGACGGCGGTGGGCAGAATCGCCCTTTCTGGTCAGCCGAGAAACAAAAGGCCCGAACAGATATATGGCCATATACACACGTGATGGGCCACACACACAAAGATACACCCGAAACCACATTTGGCGATACATACCGATCAATCGTACATACCATTTTCCTCTCTCCTTGGCGGCTAGAACCCTAGCCGCCGCCAGGAGAGGCCGTTCTTTTAGGCTGTTCATCGTATTGGCTTCACCCGCGAGGATGACGACGCTGAATAAAGATTATTTGGATCCTTCCCTAACGAGGCCATCGGTCCTATGGTTGGGGATGGATTTGGAAACCAGTCTGTTCAATTAAGGATGGTGTGGCGTGGCGGCGGCATCCTCGTGGTGGACATGTGTCATCGGACTCTGCTGTTGCGACTACGTTTGCTCCAGTGTCGGCGCAGAGCTTGGGAGGTAGTCTGGAAGCGGATGCAGATTGTGGTCTCATTGATAACATCTGGAAGACGGAACATGTGCTGGTTTGTGGTTTGTGGATGGCTGGTACAATTTTCTCCATCGGCATCTTAGTTGTGGTGGGGTGCCATGAAGTTCGATGGCGTGTCCGGGGTGTTGCCCCGGCCTGCTTCGTTCAACGTCAAGGGCTTCACTTTTGGTGAGCCACCTTGAATGTCCGCAAAATTGCATATAAGCGATGGAGCCGCGTCAAGTCCGGGTGAGAAGGCGATCTGTCATTTTGTTCTTCGATGGCTGCTGTCTTTGGTGGCTGTTCTCCGGAGACAGGTGACGGGCGTTGGTGTTAAGCTCAGGAATGTTCTGCTATCTTTTCAGTTTTGTCATGTCTGTCCTTATGTGACTTTTAATCTTTATGATACGAACGGGACACGTGTTATCATGAAAAGAAAAACACATATGCCGATCGCGCCCACCCCCACCATCTCTACAGAATACGGAATCGGCATGGCATCCCATCAACTAGGCGAGGCCGTAGCGTAGCATAGGCCCCGTCCGTGGTGACCACCACGCACGCACAACACAGCATAACGCAACGCACCGCCGCTGCATCACCCGTGTCTGCCTCGGGAAACCCAGCCCCCCACCACCCCGTTCCTCCACTGCTCGCTTCAGCGCCAAGCCGGAGAAGGAGGATCCGTCCCCGGCCCCCAAGGCCGGACTCCCAAAGTCGCCGCCCGAATCGTAGCACGTCGGGGAAAACAGGTGGTCGGTGAGCAGCAGCACAGCAACGGAACGCAACGGAGCGAAAAACAAAAATAAAAGAAGGCGAGGGCGAACGCGGAACGAGCGATACGCATCGAACGGGAGACCGCGAAAGCGACGCGACGCGACCCGTGGAGGAGCCCCCGGAGACAAAAGGCGGGCGAAGAAAGTAAGCAGTATTTTGTGCGAGGGGAAAAAGGGCTCCCGCGAATGGGAAATGAGGGAAAAGGGAGCAAAAACGAAAAAGAAAGGGGGAAATGGGGGTGGGGGAACGACTGGATGAGGTCACTCCACTCCCGCGGTCTCGCTCCTCTCCTCACAATTCACACCCGAACAAAAAGAAGGAGGGAGGGACGCGTAAAAGGAGCGGAGCGTCAGGTCAGGGCAAGGGGAAGGGAAGAAAAAAAAAATGGACGGGAAAAATCACCCGAAGCGGGCGCCCCGGGCACACTGGCACCATGCACAGTGCGGGCGGAATTGTTACGCGCACCACCGCCGCGGATGATGCTCCTCTTCCTGTCCACTTGTCGTCAACACACACATACACAAGCGTTTTCTTTTCCTTTCCCATTTGATTTTTGCCTACCAAGACTACTAGACCGAGTCTCCGTTTTGGAGAGTGAAATGAAATGAAATTCTAAAAAGAGCGTTGCTATTACCTACTCCCTCCGTGATTCATCACCCGTATCTAGATAAATATCCGTATCGACGGAGGTAATACCGCCATAGTGTTGGTGTATACGATTTTAGTAGTACAACAGTTGACATCCACCATCAATGTTATCATGGCGAACTAGATTCATTGTCGTATCAATTTTACCGGACACACTTTACGGTAGTTGTTCGGTCCTAAAAACACAAGCAAGAACGGGAAAAAAATATTACAGAGTCGAGATGTCGCGAGTCTTTTGATCGCATGACGAGTTTTACAAACATAGTTCTTTGAATGCTCCATGGAAATTGTAAAAGATACAAGGTGCATGTAACAAAAAAAGGAAAAAAAAGAGTGAATGGAAATATTAGATCGGATCAGGCAAGCCACGATGAAAACTGAGGTGTAAAAATAGCTATATGTAGTTTTTTTTTGGCCCGTCTCAACGCTTTTGGCCGCATGTCTTCCACTAAAACAGTGCATTTGACTTCTGATCGTGGAAGACAGTTGCGGACATTACTCCATCTATACACGCCATAAACGGCGAGATATGGTAGTGAAACGTATATCTCATTTAGTGCACTTTTTGTCGCCTCATCTCTTCGCTTTTCTGGCATCTATCGCCTTGCGTCCCGCGCTCTCCTTTCGGTGCCTCATCTCTTCGCCTTCTGTCATCCATCGCCCCGCGTTTCGCGCCTCCCTTTCAGCGCCTCATCTCTCCGCTTCTGGCATCCATTGCCCCGCGCCCTCCTTTCACCGCCTCATCTCTTCGCCTTCTGGCATCCATCGCCCCGCGTTTTGCGCCCCCTTTCGGCGCCTCATCTCTTCGCCTTCTGGCATCCATCGCCCCGCGTTTTCCGCCCCCCTTTCAACGCCTCATCTCTCCGCCTTCCGGCATCCATCGCCCCATGCCCCCTTTCGGCGCCTCATCTTTTTCGCCTGTTATCTTCTATCTCCTCATAGCCCACGCCACCGGTCGCACGCAAATCTTCAACTCACCATTTTTGTCGACATCTTCTCGGTTTCTTCACCAGACGTAACGTTCGCTAGCCCCACACCCTACCTACCCCCTTTTCTTCAATACCGCCATTGACCATCGCCTTTCCCACCACCGACACCCCCGTCGTCTCTATCTACACCTGTAAATGTCAGCCCAAGGATAAACCCAACCGAGCGGCGCCGTGTCCGCCACCCCTTGTCAAAGTTCTTTCCATCGAACATGGTTATAAATACCGGGGTCCGTGGGCGAACTCATCACCGGAAGATTCAAGACATGAAAGTCGGTGAGTAAACTACCTTCACTCTCCTAGCTGCAAAATTAGCGAGTGCTCCATCCTTTCAAGTTGATGAAACCAACACAACATAGTAAAAACACAGTTGCAAAGATGGCCCTGAATTTTCTTTTGGAAATCTAACAATTCGCCGTTTTGTTCTCCCATGCCCTTGCCGTGATCATAATTTTAAAAGCAAAGCGCTGCAATTTCGCCGGGTAGAAAAAGGGAATAATCGCGTGAGCGGGCAGCGCGCGTGCAACGCGCGGGTGCACGTAGCAGGCCGCGCACCGAAAAAGAGAGCGAGAGAAAGGGGGAGAAATAAATACAAGGGGCAGCGGCAGGCAGGGCGCCTCCTCTCTCTCCCTCTGTATCCTGCACACACCGCCACCGATCACTCGCCGGAGCCCCTCCCCCAATGGCCGCCGCCGCCGCCGCGATCGCGTGATGGCCGACCCAGCCGCTCGCCGAAGATGGACGAAGCCGGAAGGGCCTCCGCTCCCGCGGTGGTGACGGTCACGGCCTCCGCCGCCGCCCCCTCGCCTCCTCCTCCCCCGCCCCCCGCCACGGCCACCGCCGCGGCCGCCGACCCGCCATCGCCCGACCCTGACGCTCTCTATGAAGGTTAGGGTTTCCGTGGCTCCTCTCCCCGCCACGCCCGAGCGCCCTGGCCGTTTTGGGGAATTGGGGTTATAATCGGAAGCTAAATTCCGCGCCGTAGGTTAAGCTCGGATGCTCGGCTTTACCTTTTTTGTCTCCGCAATTTTCTGCGGAATCAGTGGGCGTTCTCACGGTATCCTGCCATGGATCGGGGAGTGGTAACCCCAGCGGATTTTGGCGGTGACTAAAGCTATCGTTTTGCGTATATCCCTGTCGGCGCGGAATTGGGGTTTTTGAGGGTGATTGATCGTGTCAGACCGCGACGCTGTTACTTTCCATGTTTTGCATGCTGTTACTTGTAGAATGTGGATACTCTGTTGGCGCTTAATAATCAATCCGCAAACTTGTTGATCTAGATTTTAATCAGTTTTGTGTGTGCGTGCAATGCAGAGGGAATGTGGCAGCAGATGGCCATGAGCAGCGGCGCCACTATGCAATCTGGGCCATATCCTGTGCGGCCAGGGGAACCGGACTGCACCTACTACCTCAGGACTGGATTGTGCAGGTTTGGCATGAGCTGCAGGTTCAATCACCCTCAGGACAGGAATACGGTGACTAAACATACCTCTCCCAGCTGTTGTTTCCATTCTGCTTTGTGTCACATGTTCACAATCGTCAGGGTTACGTTTTGTACATTTTCCAATATGTTCAGTCCTCATGTAGTACATAAGCAGGACTGTAAAATGAATACGCAATTAGTAGAAGGGAAACTTCTTGTGTTGATTTGTTCCTATTGCACCGTGGAGTCAAATGTAGTAATTTTGACCGAATTTAATGCAAATCATTAATGCGCAAAATGCTCAGTATCATGATTCATATGACCACCTTTAGATAGTTAAGTGCTTTCTCATTCGAAGAAGGCACATAAATATCCTAGCATCAGTAAGTACGTTTTGATAAAAAGTTTTTAGCTTGGTGAGGGTCAACTAGTCTATGATTTTGTTCTTTTCCATTTTCATTGGATAAAGTTTGCTATATGTTAGTCACGTGTCATAGAATCCACTTTTCTTTTGGATAATTGTCACCAGTATGCCACTTTCTTTTCGATTATTCATGATTGCCCCCGGCGAGCTGCATATTATTCCTGTTCCTTAGAGGCATTACAGTACTAACTGCCAATTTTCTGTAAAACCTCTTTATATACTTATTGTTGTTGCTTCATCTCACATTTTTCTTAACTGACCTGCTTATTGTCAGGCTATTGCCTCTGCCAGAATGAAAGGAGAATATCCTGAGAGGGTGGGACAACCTGAATGTCAGGTAATTATATTTAGGAACCATTTGTTCTTTCAGAAGCTGTTTTTTTGTCATAGATTTTACTTGGATTCACGCCATGCTGCCTTGGTTAACAATATCAGCAGTGTCATATACTCATGTGTGGCTTGTTTTCTGCTTATGTGATGCGTTGGAGCAATTATTATCTTGTTAAAAAATGCTTAGTGAAAACATGGGGAGAAATGTGGGTCTTAAATTTGGTTGATGCTTTTATATAGGTCGAAAAAAATAATAGTTGTGGTTCATATGAGGACTGTGTAATTTGTAATTCTCCTAGTTCTTTCTTCAGTGCTTGCTTGTAAGGATTGATTATCAGGTGACAACCAAACCATTCAAGATAACTGTTACAAGAATTTGTAGAAGTACTCATACAGCAAGAAAATAACCTCTAGGTGATTTAGCTTCAGTGTTTGTCAGGATGATAACCACAATTTCGGAGTGCCCTTTGTAATAGTACAGGGTATTACTATTTGTTCCCATGGCATGTTTGTGGAGTCTATCTTGCAATCTACAAGCAGTATAATTTTAGCATTTTATGCCTTGCTGGACAAGTGTCGAACTGATAGAATTTCTTGACGTTTGGGCCTACGTGCAGTACTATCTGAAGACTGGAACATGCAAGTTTGGGCCTACGTGCAAATTCCATCACCCTAGAGAAAAGGCTGGAATCGCAGGAATGGTGCAGCTAAACACATTGGGATATCCACTTCGACCGGTTAGTTGTTTACTGTTAGTAGAATATTTTATTTGTCCATCCTTTTATATATTTTTCTTCATGTTGTACTGAGCTGAAATCTTTTTTCTTGTTGTAGAATGAAAGGGAGTGTGCATACTACTTAAAAACGGGACAGTGTAAATATGGGAATACATGTAAATTTAACCATCCAGAAATTTTCAGTGCGGTGGCTTCTTCACGTGGTTCCCCTATTTATCCTCCTGTACATAACTCTGGAAGCACTGGTCCACATTCCTATACTGGAACAATGGCAAGCTGGACTTATCCAAGAGGTTCTTTCATTCCAAGCCCTAGATGGCAAAGTCCTTCAAACTATACACCGATGATTGTACCACAGGGTCTTGTTCAAGTACCAAACTGGAACTCATATCCTGTAAGATCATCTCATTTCATAGTAATGCAATATAATGAATTTTCTCTTAGTCATGATGTGTTTATCTGTTTATTTCCTAGACCAACAGGGGAAAACTTAAGAAATACATCAGTTTCAAGTCTCAACTTTTAACTTATCCTTTGATCCTTTGTTTTATGTCATGGCTCTGTTTATATGGCCTGTTTATACTTGCATTATGTTGCTACTTGAATTGCTATTGCTATTGTAATAATGATATGCTCAAAGAAAATAATTAAATCCAGTCGCAATGGAGTCTATTCTATAAGCATCTTGGAAAGCTGTCACTCAGCTTGGTCTATAATTTTATTTGACTTCAGCGATTTAGCTCTAATCTGTAAAAAAAATGTTGGAGTCTATATGTAGGGTTGATATTTGTGTTTTTTCTTATCTTTCAAGGGCCAAATGGTACCTGTTTCATCTCCTGAGAGCCGACTGCAGTCTCCAGGGGCTCAACAATACTATGGAACTTCCCGACAAGGTGAAGCCAGTGCAGGAAATCAGGGAATGCAATCACCCTACAGATCCAGTTCGTTTCCTGCACCTCAGTATGCACTGCAGAGAGAGAATGTTTTTCCTGAGAGACCTGATCAACCGGAATGCATATACTACATAAAGACTGGAGATTGTAAATTTGGTGCAGTTTGCAAATTCCATCATCCCCGTGTGCGTTCACAGCCTCCCCCAGACTGTATCTTGAGCCCAATGGGTCTTCCATTACGCCCAGTAAGTATACGGAATCCCTTCACTGTTTTTGCTTATCCTTAACTCATTGTCCATTATAGTTTTTGCACATGTTTTGAGTGTTGTACCACCACCATCATCCCACTGTGGTACAATCTTAGTTAAGCAGTTGATTTACACATCTTTCCCTGAGTACAGATTTGAGATGAATTGTAGAACCAAAGATGCTCCTTTATAAATTGTCATGTTTATTGGCTACACAACTGATTCTGCAATACCATATATTTCCTGACGTCGATGAGCAATTCTACAAACAAGAAAATCTCTTGTGTTAATTTACTAAACCATACTTGTCTTGGTTACACACTATTTTATCATCAAATTCAGTGTTGAAGTCACAGTGCTAATTCCACTATGCTAGACAAAGATGAAAACATTGTTATAATCTGCCAATCTGACAGGGAAGAGATAAGTAGAGCACTTCCTCCATTTTTATCTACTCCGTGTATTAGCTTTTTCCTAAGTCAAACTTTGTAAAGCTTGACCTAGTTTATAGTAAAAAATATCAATATGTACAATAGCGTATCAATGTCATTAGAAGGGGAGCCTTGGCGCAGTGGTAAAGCTGCTGCCTTGTGACCATGAGGTCATGGGTTCAAGTCCTGGAAACAGCCTCTTACAGAAATGTAGGGAAAGGCTGCGTACTATAGACCCAAAGTGGTCGGACCCTTCCCTGGACCCTGCGCAAGCGGGAGCTACATGCACCAGGTTGCCCTTTTTTATATATTTGCTATTATGAATCTTCACATTGTTTTCTATAAATCTGGTAAAAACAGAGGAAGTACATCCGTTCAGCTATTAGTCCGTACTTGGTTAACACGGTGTATTTCTTTAGCTACTGAATGGATTGTTCTTAGCTAATTGTTGACACGACCTGCTACTTCCTCTTGAATTTATATGCTTAGCTAACGATTTTGTGGCAGTTACTCAAACACCAGTTCATCTTTGCTGTTCCCAGCGCACCTTTTGCTGTATCATGACGCGACATCTTTTTCCGAGATTTTCAGGGGGAAGAGCTCTGCAAGTTCTATTCTCGCTATGGCATCTGCAAGTTCGGCGTAAACTGCAAGTTCGACCACCCGATGGCGGCTCCGATGGGGGTCTACGCGTACGGCTACTCCGCCTCGGCGTCGCCCAACGCGCCCATGGCCCGGCGTCTCCTGGAGTCCCCCTCCGGGTCTGCGTACGCCTCCTAAGGCAAGGCTCCCTGGCATTTGACCCTACCTTGATTGATCTCGATGATGTATAAAAGCCATCGCGCTCGCTGTCGTCCCTCCCCCGGGCGCGCCCCGCGAATGTTCTCCCCCCTAACTCCCGGGAATCAAGTTCTGTAAAAATCGAGTTTGCTACCAGAGATGTACAGTTGTTATTTTTGTTAATGCGGGTCAGTGTTTGGATGGATGGAGAAGCCATTTGCTACCGAATGAAATAATGCTTGAATGCAGTGTTGAAATGTTGGCATTGCTTCATCAGTGGTTTCCTGACAGAGGTGATCCTTTTCTTTCTTTACTGCGGATCATATGTTTGCATCATGCATTTAGTAGTTGATCTAAGCTGAGTGGCATTGGTTAGTGGGTGCTGTGCTGGTTGGGCGTTGTTGACCTCAGGGCGAAGGGGGGTAGAGGTAAAATGAGGTGCAGAGCAAAACTTGCCGCGGAATTCGGTTGTGGCATCGCCGTCATCATCTTGTTGCCGAGAAAGTTTTGTGAGGCAACCGGCCGTCCCCCCAACGACCCAGGTTAAATGCGGGGGGCGATGATGATGATAAGGCGCCGAACCTGGTCCAACCACTTTTCTTGTTGCGGGGGTGTCGCATAAATGCCTGCCCCAAATTGTGGTGGCAACCGAATTGCCCTCCATCTCACGATCGTCGGTCTCATCCACCTTCTCTTTTGTAAGTAGTAGCAGTGGAATCGCCTCCATCTCACGATCGTCGGTCTCATCCACCTTCGCTTTTGTAAGTAGTAGCAGTGGAATCGTCCTAACCATACGGCACTTCCTCTCAAAGCTGCCGCACAAATTTCATTCTTCTTCTTGACCCTTGTGATAATGATCTACTAGACAGTACTACAATTTTCCAAACAGAAGAAGCCTGATTTTTATTTCCTGACTGATGATCCGGTGCCCGTCCGTCCGCCCGTCCAGGTTTAACAACAGTGTCAATTTGTCCTAGGCTCTTGCAAGATCGATCTCCCTGTAACAAACAGGATTGAAAACAGAATCATCATCTGCCGACGACGCGAGCACCGCCAGCCATCCCAGTGACCCATCAGCCTCGTCCACATCGAGATCCTATTCCTAGGCAGGCGGATCAGGAGCAATTATCATAGGCACTCGAAGATCTCGAGTGAGTATGAACGCGCCGAAGTCGACGGAGGGCGCGTGATTTCAACACGGGCCGGCACCGGCACATCATGTGCGTATTATTTACTACTGCCACTCGTGTTTTCTACCAGCGTCCACTCGGTGCGGCGCCCACCCGGCGGGCGACGGGGTGACGACGGGCGTGACGGCAGCCACCGAGTGTACTACCGTAGCCTCTGCCTTTCTACGAGACGAGATCTCGCCATCCATCCCAAGTCGTCCGTCGTCGGCTACTGCCACTTCCCCCGAAGAGGACCTCACTCCCCACCCCAGCCCAGCCCTCCCCGCCCGCTGCACAGTCCAAATCCCCGCTCCGGCCGGCGACCGACCGAGGATGCCCGCCTCCATGCCCAAGCTGCTCTTCCTCCTCCTCCTCCTCCTCGCCGCGGCCGCCCACTCTTCACCGGTAAGCCTTCCTCTTCCTCTTGTCCCGCCCAATTCCGCGAATCTTGGCCCTGACATTGCCTGTCTGCTCTACGCGCGCGCAGGAGGTGCCGGATGCGGCGGGAGCGGGGTCCGAGCAGGCGGCGGTGCGCATGGTGCCGATGGCCCCGGCTGGGGGGTCGGGGTTCAGCGGGGTGGTGCTGAACGAGACGCGGCGGCGGCTGGGGAGCTTCCAGCTCTGCGCGCCCTGCACCTGCTGCGGCGGGCCCAGGGGCGTCTGCGTCCTCTCCCCGTGCTGCTACGCCATCAACTGCAACATCCCCAACCGCCCCTTCGGATTCTGCTCCTTCACGCCCAGGTCATGCGACTGCCTCCACTGCAACGTCTGAGCTCTGCTGCCGAGTGTGATGAATGAGGGTAATGTTGAGAGCGATAGTAAGTATTTTAGAGTGATGAGGGTGGGAGAAAAAACGACATGATAGCATGAGAGTTCCCCCAACCCGAATGCTTGCCGATTTGTTATTGTTTTAGCCCTATAGCCATTTTGCTACCGAATTGTTATTAAGTATATGGTGTAGCTGCTACCTCTCGATGGAATTGGTTGGTTATTAGCAAAGAGTTGGTGAATTGGAGACATTGCTCTGTTTCCTCTCATGGTTGCGTGATTCGTCGCGTGCTTTCTCTTGATATATAGATTAGTTAATAGCGCGGAGATTCAGTACCTTCCCTTTAAATGCTCGGTACCTCTTGTGTCTCTATCTATTTCCAATGATTCAGTAAAACTGAACTGCACAGGGCATTTAGAAGGCTGTGTTCTTCTTCTTCTTCATAGTCGAACCATTTATACATGCCTGCAGATATTCTTATTAATTAGTGTGCGTTGTGTTGGATCGATCCACTCTATGCAACTCCTCTTAGCACCTTCTGAAGATCTATTGCTTCACAATTTTGTTACGCAAAGTGTCATGGGTTCAGTACTATGTACATCTGTCACCGTAGCCTTGATTTATTTTGTGGCAATTTTAGAACTGTAGAAGTTGACCTTTTTTTTGTGTAGTTTAACACATTGTCTGCTCCTTTACTGACCTTTAAGGAAGCCTAGTTGGGCTCCAGCTTTTGTGAATTCAGTAGGCAGCATCCTATATTTAGGCTAAAAAAAGCCTTGCAGTTGTTTTAATAGAACTTGAAGTTTTCATGACAAACACTGGTTGTTTATTATCAGACATTCATTCTACTGCACACAGTTTAGTTATTATCTACTCCCTCTGTCCCAAAATATAAGACACTTTTTGATGCTATCACAGTCTCAAAAAACGTCTTACATTTCGGGACGGAGGGAGTAAAGAACACGCTATTTCACTAACTTATAGTTTCACCTTTTAGATTTGTAGCTTCAAACCTGGACGAGTGGACATGTAGCTTCTACTTTTGAACAAATTAAAACATAATGCACATAGACATGCATCACATGCAGTACTTGTTTCTACAGTAAGTTACTAAGCATATTCTGTTCTTTAATCCAAAGTGTGTCATCAAAAGTTGCGCAGAATGTGTTGAGTTTGATTGTTATCTCTTCAAAGACATTCAGCTGGGTTGCGATGCTATCATGCTACTCCGAAGGCAAACACTTTATATGATGTTACTCCGAGTTTGCTACATTTACACATTTTTCTGCAAACACTTCGTATTTTGTTATTCTGGGTTTGCTGTCTGTTCACATTTACGCAAACAAAAGGTATGGTTAGGGACATGCCAATGGCCTACTTTACTGCTTGTGCTGTGCATAGGTGATGTTGAGTTAGATACCAAAAGGTAGCTCACGTGCTAATCTTCCCGTGGTCATCAAAGCTTTACTTCCCCATCTGTGATTATTGAGTAGGAGTGTATCAACCATCATCAGGCCATCACTTGTTCTCCTTGGTTGTGTGTGTTTCCTACTCTCCTGCATGTTCTCTTGTTCTGAAGAGAGTGACTATGATTGATTGATTGATTGTGAAGTGACTTTTGACTAGCTAAGGCTGAAAAGGTAGCATGCAAAGGTGATTTTGTAGAGGGGGGAAAGTGAGTTTTGTCTCAGATCCGATCTTGAATTCCTCCTTCTCATTCTTTCTTATGCCTCAATCAAGGTTGAATCCATCATTTTCATTTCCTCCAGCGCTCGGCGCATTTCTGTTGCTGTTAATTGGCTGCTGTACCTACGATTGATTGCCGGAGGCAAAAGCGTGCATTTTGTGTTCAGTGTATATCTGTGTAGTTCTCTCCGTGTTGCCTTCGGTCGCAGTCTGTTTCAGACATTCAGTTGCTTCGTAACGATTCTCCCTGAGGCAAACACAAACACTGATTAGATGTTGTTAAAAAGTCAGTTCCACGCACGGGGTTTGCGCCTTTCCACATTTTTTGTGTCGTTTTTCAGCATATGATGGGGGCATTCGATTTGTGCAATGAAAGGTAAGGTAGGGCTGGGACTTGGGAACATGCCAATAACCTACTTTACTGATCGCGCTGTTCATCATAGGTGAGGGCGAGTTGCAATGCATACAAAAGGTAGCGCCCACGTCACGTGCCAATCTTCGAGTTTGGCCATCAACATGCATAACAGCTTTTCACCCACATTTCAGTGGTAGAGGTACAAGTGCATCAACTTGCATGTTCTTCTCACATCCATCATTAGACCATCACCTCTCCCTGTTGCATCTCCAGCATGCAGTCTCATTCTATTTCTGAAGAGAAGGGCCATGACTGTCTAAGTGATCTTTTCACCATCTAACGCTGAAAAATCAGCACGCAAAATCGATTTTTCAGAGGGGAAAAGAAAAAGTGGTTTTCCCCCACTTTTGGAATAACTCGGTGGAAGCGCGCCTTGCCTTTGTGTTCAGTATAGTACTCTCTCTGTAAAGAAATATAAGAGCGTTTAGATCACTACTTATCTACATGCTTAGTATATGTGTGTGCGAAATGATAGCAGGGATGTATGGCTGCGGCGGGGTGCATCGTCTCAGAGATGAACGTGGCTGAGCTGGAGCTGAACACGTATGTAAATGATGATCGGTCGGTCCTGCGAATTATTGGGCGACGTTTATTACGCCAGCCCCATGTTGCTTCCTTGCGGGACGGACAGATAGGGCGCCGACCTCTCCGTCTCCATCTCCATGTGCGGCAAGGCATGAGTGATTACCAGTGGCGAAACACTAGCTCATGGCAATGCGGACGCATGTGTTGAGTGGGATGGATGGATTCGCCGGTCAAGCCTGGCTGCGATCCAAGCATTCCAGCATGTTCGAGCCGTCGAAACAAAGATGGTCATGTGCATCTCAGTCATGCAGAGGCCGTCGTCGACCCCCTTTCCGAGAGACAAAAACTGTTGGAGCCGTCGAGATTCTGGTCCCGTTAACCATGTGGTTTATGACCTTCTCTGGCTTAAGTTCAAGGGGACTAATTTCAGTTCTTGGATAGACAGACTAGGGGATGCATGTTATGCTGCCTGTCATGATTCATGAACAG